AAAAAAAGTGGAAGGAACGGGTGGGAAGAATCCAATGCAGCCAGGCTCATCGTCAACATCATCAACACACACACACACACACACACACACAAAAAAAAAAAAAAGGAGCCTACACGGCATACGTGGGCTGAAAAGGTAAGATAAGCACTGCAGAACAGAACAGGGAATATCAGAAGACCGTCAATCATCAATGGGGCCACGGGGCGGGTTCCCCTGGTGAAGAACTCGAAGTTGGTCTGGGGAATTTGTCATCAGCTTGAGCGTACTTTCTCTCCCTTTTTCTTTTTCTACTCCCCTGAGTCCCCTCTGAAAACAGTTAGTCATCGCTCAAGGAGGAATAAGGACTCTTTTTTTTTTTTTTTTTTAACTGGATATTTTATGATGACTGTGTGCATAGATCGATGAACGACAAAATCAAGAGGATTTGCCAAAAAATTGGAATCGATCTATGCGCAGAGTCATCATAAAATATCCAGTTTTTTTTTTTTTAATTGATATTTTATGATGACTGTGCGCATAGATCGATGAACGACAAAATCAAATGGATTTGCAAAAAATCGGAAGCTCTGAAGGACGGACCCGAAACAGTTTCTGAGTTCTTTCTAATTCAACCGATCTCCCTGAAGGTATATTCACAGTTCTCTGCCTGTTTGACCAAGATCAACGGCAGATGGACACACATGGGAAAATTTTGTTTTCGGATAGATTGGAAAAAAAAAAAGAAAAAAAAAAGGAAGTGAGAATTTGCCCCTGGATGCCAAAGAAGATCGATCGGCGGCCCTGAAGAAAGAAGAGAACAGCTTATGGAGGATTTTTATGGGATTGAACTGCGTCACAGTCCTATAGAAGTACAATCGGCATTTATTCATGACTTTGGTCAACGATACAAAATTGTTGTTGGTTTCATCGATCCCTTACCCTCGTATGTGGCTAAGCGTGATGATTATCCCGCATGCTAGCGATGGATCTACCGAAGGATCAACCATTTTAGATGGATGACATCATCCCCTTCAAAATGGGGGGGAGGGTGTACCAAATCCACACAGCGCACAAGTTTCGTCCCTGACGTTTTTTTTCAAGTGCAAGGCATATGGACACGGGAGGGTGTACCAAATCCATACAGCACACAAGTTTCGGTCGTGGCATTTTTTTTTCAAGTGCAAGGCGTATGGACACCTTAGCACGGAGTTTGTTGTCTGTCCTTTGCACCCACATCACACCCTTCCCCCGGAACAAAAACTCAAAAAAGGACCTGCAGCGTCCTCACAGATGGTTCCAAGTGGCTCCTGGGTACGAGGGGTGGGCATATTTTTGTGATGATCTCAACCAAATGGGTCATCTCCAATAGGTTGGTTCTAGGAAGGAAGAGTAGACTACCAAAAATCTCCTCGTCCACGCTGGTCCTGAGAGGGAAGAAAGTGAGTAGGACAACAATGTATGAAGTGGCGGGGAGGGAGAGTGGAGGAAGGGGTAGGGTGCAAGGGAGGAAGACGGTAAAAGAGGGAGATGATGGGGGGGTGACTAGGTGTAATAGGGAGATCACAAGGATAAGGATAGAATGAGGGAGAGAGGGGAGGGGGAGGGAACTCATGAAGCATATTGTGTCATAACCCTTCGATTTTCTCTGAGTCTTTTTTATCCAGTTATTTCGATTCTCACCGACTAGTTCCTATTCGGTACCATATTCCATTTTATCAATCTTTGCTCTAAGAATCATCTTTACTTAACACCTCAACTATTTTTGACTTTTATCTTCATTAATTAATATCCTAACTAAAATCTCGAAATATTCTTGACTATTCTTATCATCATATACTGAATTTCACGATAAAATAGCTTGAATGGTATTTTTTTTAATACCTAAAAATTTGAATTAATTAATTATTATTTTTAATTAATCTTTCCCGTCCTCTATCAACTTAGTTATAAACAAGACCAGGTCTCATCCTGACTAAAATCTCGATATTCTTGACTATCCTTATCATCCTGATTGGTATTTTTTAATACCAAAAATTCAAATTAATTGATTTATGTTTAATTAATCTTTCCTGTTTTCTAGCAGCTTAGGGACAAAGGATGTCATGTCTCATCTTCTTCTGGTATTTCCATAAGTTATCCTCAATAATTTCAACTGCTTTTCAACAAAAGTGGAACTCCAAATTCCGCATGTTTTTTTTGTTCCTCCTGTGTGTATCAGTGTTTCTTTCAAAATCTGTACGAGGGATTCTTGGAGGGGGTGAGCTCTGCTCTACACGAGCAGCACTAGGAGGGTAGTGATGCTCGGAAAGGGGTATGAGCAGATGGTGGGGGATACTCTACTATGGGGCTGGGGATGATGTGAGCAAGCATCAAACCTCAGTGGAGGCATATATCAAAGTGTAGGTACTTGACCTATCAATTTTCATTTCCAAGCAGGATTAGATTAACACAATTCCCTAAAGAGTAACGGAGGCGCGCGAAGGTAGGTTCAAGCTAGCGCTTTGCGCAGCTGTAGAGCGTAATGGTCAAAGCCTGCCTGACTATGAGACCTAGAAGTCGAACAAAGACGAAAGTCGGCCATAGTGATCTGGGGGCCCCGTGTGGAAGGGCTCTCGCTCAACGGATCAAAGGTACGCCGGGGATAACAGGTTGATGACTCCCAAGAGCTCATATCGAAGGAGTCGTTTGGCACCTCATCGTCGGTATGGGGTAGCAGAGGAATACTTTTGGTGGGAACTGGATTTCTCTGGGTTGTAGGATGTAAGATGGGACTGTTCCAAGTTGGAGCTGACGGGGAAGGTCTTCTAATTTTGACACTCTCTGCCGGCGGAGGCAGCGAAGGGATAGGGTGGGAAGGAGGAGAGGGGGAGGAAATTCTTACCTGGGTGTGACACTTCCATAGGTGACAGCTAGTTTCTTCTATTCTAGATAACAGGGTTTCAGGGATAGTTGAATCCTGTCTGGTGCCTGCTAGAGTAAGTAGTGTTCTGAGCTCTTGGTTGGCCGATGCCAGAACAGCGTTGGCCGGTGCTGGGCTGTTTGCCCTGTGATCTGTTTTGTAGCAGGAGCATGAGGCCTGGTAGAGAGATCTGGGGATGGTCGAGGGTGGAAGGCACTCCAGTGGCGCACTAGGAGGTATTGTCAAGGCAACCCTTGAGCCGGGGATAGCTTTGGTAGTGAGTACACGACAACGATGGCAGGTATTGGGCAGGTTGAGGTGTTTTGGGAGTGTTGAGTCTGGTTTAGGGGAAGCTAGTGGATCCAAAAAAAGGGGCTTGCTGGTTTTTAATAATTTTTGGCGGCTTCCGCTCTTCTTCTTTATTCGGATATAGGATTTCAGAGATGGTCAATCTGGGCTGATATTTGTAGAGATGCTTTGTTCGGTGCCCCTGGTTTTGCCGATACCAGAACGACGCTGGTCAGAGCTGAAGCATTGCCCTGTAACCTGCAAATGGCAGGAGCGTGAGACCTTGTAGAGAGATCTGGGAATTGCTAAGGGAGGAAGGCAATTTAGTGGCGAACTGGGGGGGGTCGCCTTGACAACCTATGGGTCCAGGGATGTCCAGGTGGCGAGAACAGGTCAGCTATGGTTGATGATTGGCTAGGATGACATTGTCTCTGAGATGTAATGTCCTAGTATAGGGAGGGCTAGGAGTTGCTCTTGGATGTTCTTTTTCCACATACTAATCATCATCATCATTAGCACCATCATCATTTGTATCATCATTTCACAGTCTTAAAAAAAAAAAAACACTTTCTAGTGTTCTGAAATTTTTGGCAGCATATGGCCTTCTTCCTCATTCGGGATATAGGATTTCAGAGATGGTCGAACCTGGACTGATATCTACAGAGTTGCTTTGTTATGTGCCCCTGGTTTGCCAATGCCAGAACGACGCTGGCTGGAGCTGGGGCGTTGCCCTGTAACTTGCAAATGGCAGGAGTGTGAGGCCTTGTAGAGAGATCTGGGGTTTGCTGAGGGAGGAAGGCAATCCAGTGGCGAACTGGGGGCGGCTGCCTTGACAACCTATGGGGCCGGGGATAGTCTAGGTGGCGAGAAGAGGTCGGCTATGGTTGACGTTGGTTAGGTTGGTATTGTCTCTGAGTTGCAATGTCCTGGTACAGGGAGGGCTAGGAGTTGTTCTAGAATTAGGAGGCCAGAATTGCTGATATAGCATAGTCTTCTATATTTTTTAAAATACACTAATCATCATCATCATTAGCATCATCATCATTAGTATGATTATCTCACATTCATCATCATCATCATCATCATCATCATCATCATATGAGAGACGCTGAGGCTGGTTCTCAGCAAGTTCGGTTCGGTCACTTCTGGTAGACTGTGAGGACCCCGGCCTCAATTTTCTTATTGGTAATATCAGCCTTGGGCACTGGGCCCTTAAATAAATTAAAAAAAAAAAAAAAAAAAAAAAGGGCATACTCACACAGGGACCAAAAGTCTCAAAAATTTGAGGCATTTGGTTCGGCTTTTTTGAGGCATTTGGTCCCCGTGTGGTCACACGGGTGGTCACACGGGTGGTCACACGGGCGGACCTCGTCCAGAAAGGACGAAGTCGCGACCCTGACACTTTGCATTCAGGGCAAGTGCACCCGGTCACACGGGGGAGGACCAATCGAAGAGATGGATTGTTTTATTTTTTTTTTTCACGCTAGTATAACGCTTGGGCCTTATCTACAACGCAAATGTTCCYGGTCGCACTTTCAGTTGTTTGGCGGGCTGTCTTCTTCGTCTACGATTCTGTTCAATTCGCGAAAACAGGAAAAAAAAAAAAAAACGAAAGGTAATTTGAGACGACCTCCGGAGGTGGTCTCAAAAAGGGCACGCCCGCAGCCCGGCAGGCCGCTGACAGAAGGGTCACCCTTTGAGGCATTTGGGTAGCGAGCCTCTCCAGTGTGACCCGAAAAATGACTCAAATTTTGGGATTTGGGGTCTTTTGGTCCTCGTGTGAGTATGCCCTCAGGTCTGTAGTACTCTGTATTCCAACAGCTCATGGGTTAGTTACATGATAACTTGTTTGTTAGATAAAAAGTTAAAAACACTAGAGCAAGTCAGACGTGTAGTAGTTGTACCAACGGGCTTAGAGCAAGTCAGACGTGTAGTAGTTGTACCAACGGGCTTAGCTCAGTTCTTACACCCCTAAAAGGCGAAAATTTGAAAAGCGGACGTGAGTTCAAATCCAGATGAAAGAAGCTCCTGAAAGAGGATGGAGAAAAGCAAATCATTGAGATTTGCATTTTTTCAATTTTTTCTTGTTTTAACTTTTAAATTTATTTTTAACACAAGGCCGCTTCTATTCTGGGGCGCAACAGTCCTGTTACTTATCACCAGCAAGCATGTTTGTACATCCAAAGAAGGGGGAAGATCATTGACATTTGCAATTTTGCAGAGTGTTAGGTGCATTTTTTTTGCATTTTTTTGCATTTTTTGCATTTGTTTGCTTTTTTTTCATTTATTTGCATTTTTTGCATTTTTTGAATTTTTTACATTTTTAAATGATTTTTTGCATTTTTAAATGATTTTTTGCATTTTTAAATGGATTTTTTGTATTTTTTGCTCTCTCGACGTCAACATCACACACAGCCGGCTTACCTCGTCCAGGTCGTCAGGTCGCTTCAGGTCCACATCTACACCTGGTCCTTTGGCTGTCTCATCACTGGGAAGCATTATCGTGATTCTGCTTGCGGCACCTTTCAGGAAACCTCTTCTCGCGAATCGTGCCGCATGGGCCTCTGCTAGCGATGCCTCAAGAAGCTCCTTCACATCGGAGTCAAGTCTGTTCATGAATTTCCATGGTGACGGCCATACCAATGGCTCTGCAGAAGATGGGTCGAGGAGTGCAGCACACGCCGTGTGGCCGGATTTCAATGCGATGAAATACGGAGTATACCTGCAATAACATAACACAATAAAATTGCATTATTCTAAAATTGAAGAAGTGTGGTTTCATTGACTTAAAAAAAAAAAAAAAAAAAAAAAAAAAAAAAAAAAAAAAAGTAGTGCAATTTATAAATGATTGATATGAGACTACAACACAAGACAAATGGGAAAAGGGAAAAGACTCAAAAGAGGTTTAGACATTTTTCAACTTTTCTTCCTCCCCCTCCGGCCCCCTTCCCCCCCCCCCCTTGAAACATCTGATGGCGGTAAGCATCCCCCCTAGTACCTGCCCCACAGATGGCTCCTGTCTATTGGTGAGAAGTTCGGACTTCAAAAACCACATCAAATGAAACTGGAGTCAGATGAAGAGACCTCACATGAACCTTCATGAAAAAGGGAACGGAATTCAGAAAAAAAAAAAAAAAAAAAACACACTTTGGTTTCGCACAAAATATCGGGAATGGAAGGTTGTGTTGTTTACGACAGGCTTTCTGGAAAAAGTAAAAACCACACTTACAAAAAAAAAAAAAAAAAAAAAAAAAAAAAAAAAAAAAAAAAAAAAAAAAAAAAAAAAGACATGAATGCGGTGTGGCATGCCTGCAAGACCTTTAGGGTTTAGGGTTTAGGGTTTATTACTTTTCGAATTTGTGGCGCTACGGAAATCTTACCCAAACCATCTCAGAGTCTTTGATCCATGGATTTCCTATCTGGCAAGCTCACAGGTCTCCTTGTTTTTTTCAATGCCTGACAGTGTGGCCTTCGCGTCACACCAACAAGTTCAGACTATGGGCGTTGCCGCACGGCATGCGAAACGAAAAACGAAACTAATGAATCTTCCCACAGAAAATGGCCAGGTTCGTCGGTTTGCCATAAATGGTAACGAGTGTATTTTGCCACCTTTGTTGGGCAGATGCACTCGTTTCGTTTTCGTTTCATGTGCCTATGTCATCAAACCAAGCAGGGATGTCTTGGGTTCAGAATCTTCAGATCAGACGCGAAGCGTCTGCTGAATCTACAGTTTTTTCCCAAATTCGCTGGTGACGGCACGACGCGGCGGACACGCCGCTTCAATTCGAATCCTTGATATGCTATGCGACCTGCTTCGAGTTTGTCGATTTGCGTTGTCTCCAACCACGCCGTAGGAAAAATATTGGAAAGTTGGTGGGTTTTTCATGAGCCACCCTTCCGGATTCCGCATCACGGCATCGATCCCGCTAACCGGGAGTGTCTTTTCCACTCACTGACTTGGTCTCACACTGCAAGAAGTTCGGTTCAGTTGAGTTCGCATTGGTTCATTAAATGTTATAATTGTGGTCGCAATCGCTGCAGAGTTGTGCAGACTATAACACTCAGCAGTCTACTACTTGGCAGCTCAAAAGACACATGGCATTGAGCTCCATCGGCATCAACTCTTCTTTCATAACAGTCATAACCCTGGCTTATGTGGATACTTGTCTTCCCCTCTTAAGCCATCTTGAAGTTCCCCTCTTCTTCTCTTCTCTCCTTCTCTTCTTCTCTTCTTCTCTTCTCCTTCTCTCCTTCTCTCCTTCTCTTCTTCTCTTCTTCTCACAGCATACAGACACTAGGACTTCTCTCAATGCATCTAACCGCAATTACAGCCAGAAACAGAATGAATCTAACTGCAATTGCATCGGCAAGTCAGTCAAAAAAAAGTCCTGCTGTGAGTAATATCTCAAGACTCAAGACTATACCTTCAGTTTATTCCTGCACTCAACACTTCTTTTTTTTTTTTTTTTTTTTTTTTTTTTTTTCCCTGGGAACATGCTCCCATCTATTCGTGGCGTTCCTGCACTATTGCACAGTGTACTATCTGTCTCTTATACACATCTAGATGTGTATAAGAGACAGGCTTTGTTATGTGCCCCTGGTTTGCCAATGCCAG